TGCAATACTAAAACATAACACAGTGCAAACGAACCAAACCACCCACAGATAACAGTACATACAATGCAAGCGTCGTCAGGCAGGCCGGGTCAATAACAATCGGGCAGGTAGGTACAGGGGGGTCAGGCAGAGAATGGTCGGGGTCACAAACCAGGGATAAAACAGGAGAAGTCAGCAGAGGTCCAGATCAGGCAGGGTCAGCAACGAATCAGACAGAGACAGGGACAGGGGCAGGGGCAGGGGCATGACCAGGAACAGGGACAGGGATGCAGGAACAAGATACAGGGCCCAGGAAAAAACACACACCAAGGCAGAGACTGCAGGTCTGGCCATCCCTTAAATACACCTGCATAATCAACTTCAGGTGTTTGGCTGGCTGCAGGGTTGAGTCTCTGATTGCTGGGAGCACCTGCTGGCCAGCCCTGGTACTGCAGCCCACAAGGCAGGTGAGTCCCACCATTACTGGCAAGTCCATTCCTGACAGAGAGAGCACAGGAGTAGCTTTTTCTTTTGTGATCATCTCCCTCTAAATAAATCTCCATATGGCCAAGTGTGGGTGTAGGTATGTTTTTCTGGGGGTGAGCCATTCCTCTGATGTGATCAATTCTGTACAGGCGATTTAAAATTATTATTTTTTCATCCAAACCATTTAAGACCTAGTAAGCACATGAAAACAGGCCTAAAGTCCCACCTGCTGGCTAGGAATAGAAATTATTAAATATTTATATGCATGCAGTGTTTGATATAAAAAACAAAGTAAAAAAATATTATCTTAGTGTAATATATATATATATATATATATATATATATATATATATATATATATATATAGTATGCGCCCCCTCCTTGATTTTTTATTTTTTGTGTATTTGTCACGCTTAAATGATTCAGATCATCACACAAATTGTAATATTACACAAAGAATACCCGAGTAAATACAAAATTCAGTTTTTATGATTTAATTTATTAAGGGAAAAAAGCTGTCCAAACCTGCCTTGCCCTATGTGAAAAAGTATTTGCCCCCACCCCCTTTCTAAAACATGAATGAACTGTGATTAGCCACATTTTTAGAAAAGCCAAGTTTAATCATACTTGCCACACCCACTCTTGATTACTGCCAGACCAGTTGAATCAAGAAATCACTTAAATAGAAGCTGTCTGGGAAAGTGAACACATGATGCCGCAATCTAAAGAAATTACGAACAGATGAGAAACAAAGTAATTGACTTGTATCAATCTAGAAAGGGCTATAAAGCCATTCCTGAGGCTTTGAGACTCCAACAAACCACACTGAGAGCCATTATCCACAAAAGAAGAAAACTTAAAGCAGTGGTGAACCTTCCCAGGAGTGGCCAGCCTACCGATATCACTCCAAGAGCAAATCGACGACTCACCCAGGAGGTCATAAAAGAACCCAGAACAACATCTAAAGAACTGCTGGCCTCACTTGCCTCAGTTAAGGTCAGTGTTCATGATTCAACAATAAAAAAGACTGGGCAAAAATGGCATTCATGGGAGAATTCCAAGGCAAAATCCACTGCTAACCAAAGAGAACACAAAGGCTCATCTCACATTTGCCAAAAAAAACATCTTGATTGTCCCCAAGACTTTTGGGAAAAAGAAGTTGAACTTCTGGGTAGGTGTGCATCCCGTTACATCTGGCGTAAAGCTAATACAGCATTTCATAAAGTTTTCATAATACCAACAGCCACACATGGTGGTTGTAGCATGATGGTCTGGGGCTGCTTTGCAGCTTCAAGACCTGGATGACTTGCCATAATTGATGGAACCATGAATTCTACTTGAAAATCCTAAAGAAAGAATTATCTATTGTGAAAAATTGTATAGTGTCCCAGCTTTTCTGGAATCATATATATATAATTATAATAAATACTTTTACACTAAGTAGTCTCAGAACGATCAGCATGCTGTCGAACAACAACGTTTTCTCTTCTCCCCCTTTTATTGGGGCTTAGGCTTCTTTTCTGTCTGCAGGCCAAGGTCAAGGTCAAACCTGTAGGTAGACCATCTCACAGAGTGCTTATGATCTTATGTTTGGATGGGGTTTTGTTTATGTTATTAGATTTTCCTTTAAATTAGAACTAAACTTAAAACAATACTTGCTAGCAGTTAAATGTTTTAACAGAAGAGATTTTGTATGTCTTTATTGCCAGAAAAAAGCCGTTGCCTTTCTACTAGAAATACATTTTCTGCACTGTATTGCATACTCTGGCCTGCACTGTGAGATGCTGAGAAAGCAGCTAGGCACTGGAATGATGTATACCTGAAACATAGGAGTTACATTAATGGCCACAAATGGTAAAGAAAGAGGATGGTGGGCTGGAAGAAGACCAGGTGAAGATGGCAGTGGATGGAGCATCTGGTCACACAAGTCTAGGTACAAGAGAAACCACTCCAGCTGCAGCTTTAGATATGCTTTAAGATGAAAGTGGTTGGTAAGAAATGACCTTCTTAAATTGTCTACAGCCATTTACCATTCCACAGTCAAAGCACACAAAGGTCAAGCCTTTATCTCATTCGTTTATCAAACTAATACAGTTTCTATATGCGCAATTTTATGAGTGTTTTTATTACAATTCGACAATTACATGATTCATCCAAAAAAAATAAATTGTCAAGTGGTTTCTCTTGTGCCTCGATAAATATAGACCTACATGACTCATCTTCCAGACAGGCTTACGCCATTCCACAGAGAGTTTCTCCCTCTTATGTGCTGGAAAAATATACGACTCATATTTACCAAAGAAGATGAGAAAGAAGGAGGGTTGATAAAATTAGTAAGCTATTAGCTAGCGCATTCCCTACGAGTGTGATTGATGGCAACTTTATATTGCAGCATCAGGTCAGTTAAAGGACAAACTATTGTATTCTGGTGACTGTATGGGGTTAGTATCTATAAAGATAGTATTCAGCATATGAATTCCTTTATTATTTTACATGCCTTTATTTAAATGTTCTCCACATTTATATGTCTAGTAAAAGTAGCAGGATTGGAATAAGACATAAAACACTACTGGAGGCTTGCAGCAGCCACTACTTATTCATATGATTTAAACCTTTTTTCAAAAGAAAAAGACTGTTGCTGTGACTGCTTAAAAAGTATTAGCTGGGGTTAGGCTTTCATTTTTTTGGCAGTTACATAAAATTCATTTAAAAACTACAGGATAAAAATGCCGCTGAGTGAATGGAATGCAAAAACCACAAGGTTGTCACCCTGTTAAAGGAAACAGAAACACTGTAGATCTGCTGGAAGGATCAACAGATAATAAAGCTACGTGAAAACTGTTGTGTTAATGCTAATGACAGGCTGCATCATATATTTTATTTGGAATCTTGCCTCCCTGGTTATACTTTACCCCCCCCCCCCCCCCCAAAAAAAAGCACATTGCCCATAGTGACCTTTTATATTCTAAAATATGTGGTAAAATAGAACAAGGAATCTGGTCACTATGGGAAACAACAAGCAATATAGAGTCCAACGTATACTGTATGTAAGTAGCTGGCATGAACGCTAGCAAATCTGTTTCTATCCAATATATTTAAAAAGTTATGGGTAGATTTGTTTTTAAAGCACAATGAGAAAAAAATGTGCAATTTTGCTATAAAGTCTTAGAGATATTGCTACATGGCTTATAAAATATCCCTGCAACAACTAAAAGCGGAATGTTCTTGCCCAGGGGTCAGCAACCAATAGATTGCAATCTTCCAGCAGATCGCAGCCAGGTGACTGGCAGATCACGGCCTGGGCTTGCTGACCCGCCATTCTAGAGCATCAGAGTTCAATGCAGAGGGACTGCTTGTAAAGTTGGAGGCAGGGGCGGACTGACCATTTGGAAACTCGGGCACTGTCTGAGGGCCCGGGGTCAGTAGGGGGCCCCATGAGATGCCTTTGGTACCTTTTTCATAGGCATTTTTGAGTTTGGGCAAGGACACAGGGGCCCCATGATCCCCTATTGCCTGGGGGCCCCATGATTTGTCAGTCCACCCCTGGCTGGAGCTGTAGTAGAGAGCAAGAGCCACATAAGCTGATGCCTCCTCTGCAGTGCTGGCTCCTGTCCCATGCAAAGTTATACAAACTGCACTACACCTCTTATCCTGGCTAGCAGTCTCCAGAGTAGTGCCAGCAGCAGGATAGAAGAGATCTTCAGGTCAGTGCGAAGCAATACACTGGGCATAATAGTATAGGGCTGCTTGCACACCGATGTGCTGCAGTTTCCCCAAACCACAGGTGCAGTGCAGTGTTCCTGCAGCTTTGCTGTGCTTAGCCATAGTCTTCCGTTATATCTTGCTCGTTTGGTGCACATTCTGAAAGCACACCAAAACTCTTGAATCAAGGAGTTTTAGTGCGCTTTCAGAAAATTCACCACACTTGCCAGTGCAGCAGGCACTGCTGCTCCTCTGAAAAGTGATCCAAGTGTGTGTTTGACAGGTGATGAGGAGGCAATATGTTGCCTCCTCACCACCTGATTTAAAGCCACGATTGTTGTGCAATGCATGCAATTGTGACACAGTAGCACGGCAAATGGAGGTTTAAATCAGGTGTGAGAAGGTGGCACTATGCCCAATGATCTTTGACTCCTCCCATGTTGTTCAGTTAGATCTCCACCTCTTTAAAGTGTTACTAAACCCACAACAGTAAAATCAGTCTGTATATGCATTAAAGCATGCTTGTTATACTCACTATGGATCCTAGGGGGTTAATCCCATGCATTGTGTAAAAACGCTGTTTGATCGTCTCTTCTCTGATCATTCCCTTCTTCCAGTTCCTTCCTCTTATCTCCTGATAAGACATATCGCACATGCTCAGTTTGGTGTGTATTGCTAGAGAGGGGCTTTTTTTTCTTGGGAGAGTGCATATGATTAGCACAAGGCCAATCATCACAGCCCAGAAAGATGTCAGGGGTCCTGCATCCTCCTAGAGCAAAATGAACACTCCTCCTTCAAGCTTTAACCAGTGCTCAGCTGGATACTGATAGAAGTCACAATACTGCTATATACTGCTGATGAGAAAAGGTATTTAGCAGTTAATATTTACTAAAATAATAGCATTTCCATGTTTGTGTGTACTGTGGGAGAGCAGATATAGTGAATGCAGGGTCCTGGGTTTAGTAACAATTTAAGGTTACCTACCCTAGTTCTAGCCATTTATTATCCTGTTCTCTTTTATCTCTCTATACATAACTATTAATGTACAAATGTATTCAGGAGTTAAAATATTAATTCTCAAATTTTTGTGAAATTTCTACTTCTGACTCCTAGAAGGAATATGTAATAGTTTTCTTTTAATTATTATGGACAGAATTAAAAATGAAATGTAACTTTATTATTACTTAATATGGATATTATGTATTCTCATTTACAGCCAGAAGGTGGAGGCTTGGTCTCACATTTTCCAAGTTCCTTTTTTCTGCTCCGCTGAAAAAAATGTTGTTTACAAAATCCCATATTTTAAGCTGAAATTTGAATCCAGAACTGAATGGCTCCTGTACAAAGTACAAAGTTTTATTTTGAAAGATAGTCTAGAAGGAAACAGCCTCTGCTGTTCCTTGTCCTCAAAAAACCCACAGTGCTCTGGAAATGCTGTATAAAATATTGATTTGTAAAACAAAGATTTTTTGTAAAAAGTAAGAAAAAAGATTTAAAATATTATTGAGGAAATATATAAACATAAAAAAGAAATAAAAACTGCCCTCAAACTATTACAATTTGACTTTAAAGTCCAACTCCTGGCACCCTTTCTCTACCATAGACATGAGGGATTCGTTTCGAAATGAATTACAATTTGGACGAAATGCAGATGCGGATGTATCCGAATTTCCAAATCACAATAGTACAGAATGTCATCAAATGCAAACAAAATTATAATGAAATGAATTATCTGAATGCAAATTAAAGTGAAAGAAGATGATGATTGCTACTGCTCTATGGAATAGAAAAAAACAGAAAAGAACATAATAGAATATAAAGGAAAAGAAGTGAAAATCATGGAATAGAATAAAACAGAATAGAATAGAAAATAAAATAAAATACTAGAATATAATAGAATAGATTAGAATAGGTTAGAAAATAAAATAATAGAATAGAATAGAAAAATAGTATAGATTAGAATAAAATAAAATAGAAAATAGAATTTTCCAAAATTCGAATTTTGGAAGATGGCTGTATTCGTTCTACTTTATTCTGTTCTGTATTATTCAAATATATAATTCTGTTTTCTATTATTATATTCTTTTTCTTTTCTTTTTTTTTCTATTTATTTAGAGATGAGCGAATTATTCAAAAATTTGATTCGGCTGATTCGCCGAATTTGCGGAATAAATTTGATTCGATGCAAATTTATTCGCTGCGAATTTAACTTATTAAAAGGGTTTCTAGGCTTCAGAGAGCCTTTATATTAGTGCAGAACACTGTACCTTTAATTTAAATGCCCTTGGAGTCTGCTGGGGAAGAGAAATAATACTGTCAGTCAGTATGACATGCAGATGAGTGCCGTCGATCTTAGAATCACCGCACACTTCACTCATTTGGGCAGTCACGGGGCCAAAACCAGAGTGTGGAGCCACAGTGTGGCGGTGGAGGCAGCAGCAATGGGAGGCCATACAGCACCCTATGACAAAAATGGAACCCACCAGCAGTGTGAGGAGACCTGAAAGTGGCACATGGCAGAGTGTGGCGATGGAGACAGCAGCAATGGGAGGCCGTACAGGGACCCATGACACACTCTGGACCTGGCAGCAGCATGAAGAGGCGGTACAGGGGCCCATGGCAGAGTGGCGAAGCGTAAGCAGCTTAAATTGAAGGCCATACAGAGGCCTATGTTAAAAAGTCCCCCCAGCAGCAGTGTGGGGAGACAACTATCAAGAGTCCAATGGCAGAGCGGCGGAGCAGAAGCAGCTTCAATTGAAGAAGAAGAGGATGAGGATGAAGAAGAAGAAGCAGAGGATGAGGATGAAGAAGATGAGGATGAAGAAGAAGAAGAGGATGAGATGAAGAAGATGAAGAAAGAGAGAAGAAGAAGAGGATGAGGATGAGGAAGAAGAAGAGGATGAGGATGAGGGTGAAGAAGAAGAAGAAGAGGATGAGGATGAGGAAGAAGAAGAGAAGAGGATAAGGATGATGATGATGAAGAAGAAGAGGATGAGGATGATGATGAAAGAAGAAGAAGAGGATGAGGATGATGAAGAAGAAGAAGAAGAAGAAGAATGAAGAAGAAGAAGAAGAAGAAGAAGAAGAGGATGAGGATGAAGAAGAAGAAGAAGAAGAAGAAGAAGAGGATGAGGAAGAAGAAGAAGAAGAAGAAGAGGAGGATGAGGATGAAGAAGAAGAAGAAGAAGAAGAGGATGAGGATGAAGAAGAAGAGGATGAGGATGAAGAAGAAGAAGATGAGGATGAAGAAGAAGAGGATGAGGATGATGAAGAAGAAGAAGAGGATGAGGATGAAGAAGAAGAAGATGAGGATGAAGAAGAAGAGGATGAGGATGATGAGAAGAAGAAGAAGAAGAAGATGAGGATGATGAAGAAGAGGATGAGGATGAGGATGAAGAAGAAGAAGAAGAAGAGGATGAGGATGAAGAAGAAGAAGAAGAAGAAGAGGATGAGGATGAAGAAGAAGAAGAAGAAGAAGAAGAGAGGATGAGGATGAAGAAGAAGATGAGGATGGAGAAGAAGAAGAAGAAGAAGAAGAAGAAGAAGAGGATGAGGATGAGGAAGAAGAAGAAGAAGAAGAGGATGAGGATGAGGATGAGAAGAAGAAGAAGAAGAAGAAGAAGGATGATGATGATGAAGAAGAAGAAGAATGAGGATGATGAAGAAGAAGAGGATGAGGATGAAGAAGAATAAGAAGAAGAGGATGAGGATGAGGAAGAAGAATAAGAAGAAGAGGATGAGGATGAAGAAGAAGAGGATGAGGATGAGGATGAAGAAGAAGAGGATGAGGATGAGGAAGAAAGAAGAAGAAGAAGGATGAGGAGAAGAAGAAGAAGAAGAAGAAGAAGAGGATGAGGATGAAGAAGAAGAAGAGGATGAGGATGAAGAAGAAGAAGAAGAAGAGGAGATGAGGATGAAGAAGAAGAAGAAGAAGAAGAGGATGAGGATGAGGATGATGAAGAAGAAGAATAAGAAGAAGAAGAGGATGAGGATGAAGAAGAAGAAGAAGAGGATGATGAAGTTTTTAGTTGAAGAAGAAGAGGATGAGGATGAAGAAGAGGATGAGGATGATGAAGAAGAAGAAGAGGATGAGGATGAAGAAGAAGAAGAGGATGAGGAAGAAGAAGAATAAGAAGAAGAGGATGAGGATGATGAAGAAGAAGAAGAAGAAGATGGATGGGATGATGAAGAAGAAGAAGAGGTGAGGATGAGGATGAAGAATAAGAAGAAGAGGATGAGGATGAGGATGATGAGAAGAAGAAGAGGATGAGGATGAGTTGAAGAAGAAGAAGAGGATGAGGATGATGAAGAAGAAGAAGAGAAGAAGAAGAAGAAGAGGATGAGGATGAAGAAGAGGATGAGGATGAAGAAGAAGAAGAAGAGGATGATGGTGAGGAAGAAGAAGAAGAAGAAGAGGAGGATGAGGATGAAGAAGAAGAAGAAGAAGAAGAGGAGGATGAGGATGAAGAAGAAGAAGAGGAAGAAGAGGATGAGGATGAAGAAGAAGAAGAGGATGAGGATGAAGAAGAAGAGAATGAGGATGAAGAAGATGGATTTTTGAAGAAGAGGAAGAGGAAGAGGATGAGGATGAAGAAGAAGAAAAAGAAGAAGAAGAAGAAGAAGTTTGAGGTTGAAGGAAGAAGAAGAAGAAGAAGAAGAAGAAGAAGAAGAGGATTGAGGATGAAGAAGAGGAAGAAGAAGAAGAAGTAGGATGAAAATAAGAAGAATTCCAGTACAGCAAAAAGTGTATCTGCAGAGAGCTCCGCTATTTCTGACAGTTCTCTGACAGTTCCTTCACATTTACAGCGGTTTGAAACATTGTATCTATTTGTTTCCGAATAAAAACATCTGTATCCTAAATGGAAACAAATAGATACAATGTTTCAACCACTGTAAATGTGAAGGAACTGTCAGAGAACTGTCAGAAATAGCGGAGCTCTCTGCAGGGACACTTTTTGCCGGCTGTAGAAGGGATGAAAATCGGCCGATCGGGGAAAATTCGATTCGTGCATCCGAAGTTTGCTAATTTTCGAAACGAATTCCACTTCGCCAAGTTCGATTCACTCATCTCTAATTCTATTCTTTTGTATTCTATTCTATTCTACTCTCTTCTATTTTTTATTTTTTTTCTTTATTTTCTATGCTTTTCCTTTATTTTCTATTCTATTCTATTATTTTATATTCTATTCCTTTATATTCTGTTCTGTTCTTTTCTTTTCTATTCTGTTCCATGCTGTTCTGTTTAATTCTATTCTATCCTGTTATATTTTATAAAGTAGCAGAAGTAGGAATCATCATCTTATTTCATTTTTATACCTTACTGTATTTATTGCAATATGTTTCCATTTCTAATTCCTTTTCAAATTCGAATACACTTACACTTATTTTCAAATCGATTTAAAAATAATGAACATACCAAACAAATCTGAATATACAAAATTAATTCTGAAAACAAATTATTCTAACATAACGAATATGATGGGACAAAATTATTACCTTAAAGAATGACTCCAAAACGAACCAAATTTTTCCATCATCTCTACTCTGCTATTCAGATCTGTACTGACACTGTACTGCTAGGGTGACAGTATGGGAAAAAAAATCAAATAAAAAATAATATTAAAAAAATAAAAAAAGTAAAAAAAAAAAGTTTAAAAATTATAATTTTTGGTTATAAATTAATTTGGGTTATTTTTTTTACTAAAAATATAATGAATAAATTTTGGCCAAGATGTATGATGAAATACTATTTATTTGCAAAAGTTTATAAGAAAAACACTTTTTTTCAAAATTGTTGGACTTTTTAATTTACATAGCAGAAAAAAATAAAAATCCCAGTGGTGAATAAATACCACCAAAATAAAGCTTTATCTGTCTAAAAAAAAAAGCTAAAAAATGCATATGGGTACAGTGTTGCATGACCGCGCAATTTTCATTCAAAGTGTGATAGCACTGAAAGCTGAAAATTGGTCTGGACAGGAAGGGGTAAAAGTGTCCGGTCTGGAGGTGGTTAAAGAAAAGTAACCAGGGTAAGGAGACAAGGTGGCTGAAATCCCCCAATTACTCTCGGCAAGAAGTTGGCATGAAGTTGTAGAGCATGGCATTTCACATTACAAAATGTTTCTGAAAATCTCTGTTCACAACATACACACTTCTTCTCCGCCCCCGAAAATGTGGTATGTATCAATAACATAATACTAATACTAAAGACACATATGTCTCATTGGGTGCAGTTACTACCTTGTGACCAATATTACTGCAGACTAGAAGTGAGTGACTAATGGCAAATCCACTGTACCAAATGAAGACATACCCTGTATGACATCACTGTTCTAACATGGAAATATAACACTTCCTTCTAAGATCCTAAGAGAGCCACCAGTCAACACTTTGCACAGCTGCTACTCTCAATCCCAGTTGTCAGTGGATCCTAATTGTGGGATCACAATGTCAGTTCTGATGAGCTGAGTGATCTGCAGGCTGGATGCTCCATTGATAAAAATTAAAGCCTTACCCTATTGTTGGGTTAAAGAGGTTCTGCAGTCTAAAATTAATTAATAAATAAAAGTCAGCATATTGGTGACAGGGCAAGGTTAGTTGTTTCTCCAATTTGGATGTTGGATGTTTCTCCATTTAACTCATTGGGCACCAAGTCTGGGTTACATAAGAGGTCTGCCTTGGGTTATGGGACTTCTGGACTACTCTAGGCACCGTGAACAGGATCACTCTACTTCACATGTCGGGAACCTTTACTCTTGTGTTGTTTTTATCAATGTCCTGGGACAAAGCTGAGGCAGCCGTGGGGGAATACTCAACCTTAAGGCGGGCCTCTACTCTTAGAAATGAACGCTCACCATGTAGACTTGCACCACAACTGTTCTCCAGTTAACTTTTGGGTCTTCATGTAAATGTATATCCTTCCACTGTAATTTGTGGACAAGGTTCAGCATGTTCCTCCTAATTGCAACCACCTATCCAGTGGGCCCCTCTGTGCATCTAGCACAGGCTCCACACCTGCACCTGCCTATTGGCCTGGAACCCACTGATGGGCTTGTACTGTAACAAATCAAAGCACAGCCGGGGTGGTGGGCATGAGCCCTACCCGGAGATGCTGATCACATACCAGGTATATGATCCAGCACACAACGGCTGCCCTGCCACATTAAATGTATGTGGAGCTGTTGCTACATGGTTAAAGAATACTCTTTCTACCATAATTGTTTTTTTTTTCACTAAGACTGGACAAAAAAAAGTTTTTTTTCATCCAAGGATTGCATAAAAAAGGCAATATCATGAAGAGAAAGCCTTGATTGTCCTTAAGTTCCTCCCACCTGGCCTATGGCCAAATGGCGGCCAGCAAAAACACTCACCTTTCCGGGTGGACGCCATGTGGCGTCCTTTCGGCATGCGCAGTTTGCGTGCCTGCTGAGCAGCGCAGTGGAGCGATCTGTCACCAGCCGTGTACCTTGGACACGGCCGGTGACAGATCTGAGTACCGGCCCCGTTGCCGGTACCATGTGACCTGCTGTGACCTATCACAGCAGGTCACATGACAGTTGTATACAATGGATGGCTTCATTCATGCCATCCATTGTATACTAGTGTGTCTAGCTGTGAATGGTCACAGCGATCACATGCACAAGCTGGGCCAATCACAGCCCAGCTGTGTCATGTGATTAGCCGTGGCCAAATCACAGCTAAGCACAAAAAAAAAAACCCTGAATGAATCGATGTCATTAAGGTAAATGCTTGCTTATAGCAAAGTAATTCTTTGCTATAAGCAAATTGTGTAAAAAAAAAAACCCTGATCACTTCCCCAAAGTAGTACAATGTTACTGTGGTAACATTGTACTACTTTGGTCATAGTGAAATATGAAAAAAAAATCTTAAAAAAAGGAAAAATGTAATTAAAAAAAAATTTTTAATTTTTTTTTTCATACTGTCACCAGTCAGTGTCCCTGATCACCGCCATGCCAGTTATATGATGACGCTGTACTGCACTGGTGACAGTATGTAAAAAAAAATAGTGAAAATAATTTTTTTCATTTTTTCATTTTCTGAAAAATTATGACAAAAAAAATACAATTTCAAAAAACTTGCCATGCCTCTTATGAAGTACGTCGGACTGTCTACTTTGCAAACAGGGGTCATTTGGGGGATATCTGTACTGTTCTGACATTCTTGGACCTCAAGAAATTAGATTGGCTGTTAGTACTTGAGGATTGTTTAATATTCAGATCTATACCATAGTTTGTGAACTCTATAACTTTCCTACAGACTAAATAATACATCCTAATTTGGGTTATTTTCACCAAAGACATGTAGCAGAATACATCTTGGCCTAAATTTATGAAGAACAATTATTTATTTGCAAACTTTTATAACAGAAACAAAGAAAAACGTGTTTTTTTTTTTCAACATTTTTTATTTTTTTGTTAGTCTAGCAAAAAATAAAAACCCCAGCGGTGATTAAATACCGCCAAAAGAAAGCTCTAATTGTGTGAAGAAAATGATAAAATTTTAGTTTGGGTACAATGTTGTATGACCGCGCAATTGTCATTCAAAGTGTGAGCGCTGAAACCTAAAAATTGGCCTGGGCAGGAAGGTGTAATGTTATGTCTAAGGAGATGCAGACACTGCAATTTTCCTCATTAGAGCCCTGCAGAAACAGGTAGGAATATTCAACAAAGTTTGTTAAAAGATCACTGCAATGTACATAGATCACCCAGAGGGGAATGTTTTCTTTTCTCAACAAAAGTAGAGATGCTCTTTAAAGTGTTACTAAACCCACAACAGTAAAATCAGTCTGCATATGCATTAAAGCATGCTTGGTATACTCACTGTGGAGCCTAAGGGGTTAATTCTCTGCACTGTATAAAAAAGTTGTTTGATCCTGACTTCTGTGTCCCTCCTCTTGTTCAAATGTACACCTGATAAGACAAACTGAACCCGTAGCCACATGCACATGCTCAGTTTAGTGTGTATTGCTAAGAGAGGTTTTTTTTTTTCTTGGGAGAGGGAATGTGATCAGCACAGGGCCAATCAGCACAGTCCAGACAGAGGTCAAAGGTTTTGCATCCTCCTAGAGCAGAAAGAAAACGCTTACTACAAGCTTTAATCAGTGCTCTGCTAAACACTGATAGAAGTCACAAGACTGCTCTAACTGCTGATGAGAAAAGGTATTTAGCAGTTTATATTTACTAAAATAATTCCATGTCCATGTTCTGTGTACTGTGGGAGACCAGATATAGTGAATGCAGGGTCTGGGGAGACCAGATATAGTGAATGCAGGGTCCGGGGAGACCAGATATAGTGAATGCAGGGTCCGGGGAGACCAGATATAGTGAATGCAGGGTCTGGGGAGACCAGATATAGTGAATGCAGGGTCTGGGGAGACCAGATATAGTGAATGCAGGGTCCGGGGAGACCAGATATAGTGAATGCAGGGTCCGGGGAGACCAGATATAGTGAATGCAGGGTCTGGGGAGACCAGATATAGTGAATGCAGGGTCTGGGGAGACCAGATATAGTGAATGCAGGGTCCGGGGAGACCAGATATAGTGAATGCAGGGTCCGGGGAGACCAGATATAGTGAATGCAGGGTCCTGGGTTTAGTAACACTTTAAAAGTAATTCCACTTTTTAAAAAAATATATATATATATATATATATATATATATATATATATATATATATATATATATAAAACATTGTATTATTATACAGGATTTATATAGCGCCAACAGTTTGCTCAGCGCTTTACAGTAGAACGGGAGACAATACAGCAACAATACAGTTCAATACAAGAGGGTTAGGAGGGCCCTGCTCCTTGGATTTACCTTTCCAATCTGCAGGTGCTGCAATTTTCTGTAAAATTCGATGCAATATCACTATTTGGAGGCCTTATGTATACAACTGGTGTTCAGAACTTCACCAGGAATGGCATTCCCTGCTGGGGTGATTGGCTCACTAAGACAGAAGACAAGTTTTAGGCACCCCCTGCATTAAATTTTCGGTAACATACTTCCTAAGGGTTGATTACCTCTAAAAGGAATGCAGGCCCTGCAACTTTCCTCATTAGACCAATGAAAGTACATCAGCTGATTTATATCAAACAGACTCTCCCATTCAAGAATTAGTTTGGCGAGAACATAGCAGAACATACAGCTTTGTCTTCAGGACAAACAGGTAGAAATCTGCTGCAACATTTTTTTCCAATATTTAATCCTTGCAAGTACATTGATCACCCAGAGGGGATTTTCTTTTCAACAAAAGTGGAGTTACTCTTTAACTATCACCGTATCTGTCACAACTAGCCTAAACTCTTTCATTCCTATAAGCCTACCACCCACTCCTACCCATCAGCTTACAAATAGGGACTCCCTGCAAGACTGTTTCATACTTTCAGTTGGTGTGCAGCAACTCAAAACAAGGACAGGTTTCAGGTTGGTATACTATCTTTGGTGAAAAATGATTTAATGATTTTTTTAAAGGGGCACATAATTGAACTAAAGGTTATCTTTATATGATTTGGCTGGTGTTGCTTTTTAATAGCAATCATACATCTTTGTGAGCCGTTTGTCCTGCATTAAAGATTTGAGGTCATTTGATGATATGATGACTATTTCATTAGCAGCATGTACTGTCAGCTCCGTAAACAACTATTCTCCAGTTACACCTGTGTCTGTTAAATTTGTTTTCCATAACAGAATGCACACATTGGACACACATAATTAATTTAAGGCTCACTGTGAAATTCTAAATTATATTGATGTGCTTCATAAACTTTGCTTGGTTTTATCAAATGGGATTATCAGCTAAAATTAAATATACTTTTCAGTACAACCTAAGAATTAGTGGAATAAACATGTGTTTATGTACCAGAGTGGACGGAGGTTATTGGTGGCTGTCTATCCAAATATAAAAAAATGACTCTTGCATGATACTGTTGCGTCTTAACATCTGGAAGGTAATAGGGTTACCCAGTAATTAAGAGTAAGTACATATTGATGCAAAAATATTTTTTAAAGCTAAACTCCAGGAAAAAAGTAAAAATGTTTCCCACCCGCCTCTAGATAAAACCCTCAACGTAACCAAATCTTCTGTCACCTGACCAACCATGGAACCTCTTCCATTAATGGAGATTGAAAATTTCTAGCTACTCTACTTTCTACCTATAGGTCTTGTTGGCACCTCCAACAGATTCCCACCAGCAACAAAGATTGCTTGGAGTCAAACTCTCACCAACCCCACTAGTTCTGCAGTAGTATTGGACATGAAAAATAACTTTAAGTCAGCCATCCATCAATCCCACTAGTTGTACAGGATATTGGATATAAAGTATTGACTTGAGTTAGGCTACCAAAGGACCCACTAGCTTCATAGTATGTTGTATATGAAGGACCGCTCTGATTCAGACTACCCCTAGCCCCACTAGCAATTGTGGGGTTTCTGCTGATCTCCCGAAATGGTCTATTGGATTTAATTTCTTTGGGATCAGCGTCATCTTACCGGAGCTTAGCATCTGAAATGTTTTTGACACATGTACCAAATGAGCAAACAAGGGTCGACAAGCAGAATAATGAGGGCACAACACACATAAACATGCTGTGCTAGTAGGAAGTTATGTCAGAGGTCAGAGTTGTAATTCTAAAAATTGTCAACAGGGAAGAAAATATAGAGTGTGATTCATCATTCTAATATGCAGCTTTCATAGGCTTTATATTTATAACTATTTTTAACATACAGAGGAAAGATTATACATCAAGGGAATAAAATATGTAACTCCTGCTACCAAGCACTGAAAATAACATATGCAGCTTTTGTGAAATACTTGCGCAACATTTAGATCTCCTAACAACATGTTTGGTTATGCTGTAAAGAGGCCGCCTTTGACAACCTTTTCAAGGAAGAAACCCTTGAAATAAAAACATTTCAGTCTCAAGGAACTCCTGCTAAAAATTACTATATACATACAGCTCCTGATACATTACTGTGATGGTCAATGAGTAGAATTCTCCTTATACTTGTGGTCATTGGGAAAAATGCTCCTTACAGTTGTGGTCATTGTTAAGAATGTGCCCTTATAGATAGCTAAAAAAAGATCGTTACTGTCATTGGGAACTCGTCTGAGAGGCAGTATTGGCTCATTGCTCAAGGAACCCCTAGCAACCTTTGGGGGAACCCTGGTTGAGAAATCCTGGTATAAACAGTAACTACTTTGCCCACCTGAGTTAAAGGGTTCCTAGTTATGGAACTTTTATAAACTCATTGACTGGCACCGATACCTGAAGACCAGCCCCAAGAGGACTCCCCACCTTACCCGATGTTGTTGTATCCTGACTTATCCAGCAGTATACATACTAACAGTGCAGGTTGAATGGTTGACAATTATCAGAAGATTTATCTACTAAATTATACATAAAATTGATTTTTTTTAATTATATTTATTTACTGTACTGGGCACTGTTATTGAGGTCTACATAAGACTTGGTCTCCACAGCATTCAGTAAACCCTGTTTGTGGAGCCAGGTTGGCTCAATCGAAAAAGGGGTGAGAACAGTAGCATATTAGAGCCTCGTTAGTAACTGCATTCAAATGGAAACTAGAATAATAAAATTCAAATGAAGTTCTGATTTACTTAGAGGATTGGTTTACTTAAAGCTTACATTTTTATTTTTTAGGAGTTGCAATGATTACAGACCCGCAATTGATTGCCCAACCCCCCTTTGGTTGACTGTCAAAACTATCATCATTATTAGGTACCAGTATGACTTCAAACGGTTTTGTTTTACTTTACATATGGATAGCTAGGAAGAGAAAAGCTGAAGGAAAATCAGAACAACTTTAATCTATAACAAACTACAAATCAAAAAATTCTACAACTTCTACTCTAATAATCACAATATGGAGATTTTTGTTGTTGTTTTGGTGTCAAAACATTGAGGTACAGGTACAGTTACTGGCTGCTATTCACATTTTTGTTAATTATGTAGAGTCATGTAAACCATAATTTGGAGACTATTCACCAGATACCCCCAGCTATGAATCCCTGATGTAAACCATGGAAATGAGGTACAGTTACTGGCCATGATACTCATATTTTTTTTAGTTGTTTGAAGATCAGTCCTGTACCCCATCATTTGGATACTTGTGCCAGTTGGTATGGATGCCACCAGGTAAGAACCCCTAATAGGATTTCTCGTAGGATGTTTTTATACTTTTGTTTTCATCCTTTCTTTACATCTTAGTGCAACTGATGTCCATCAGCCTTTTTCACCCATTTCCTTTCTACATTCTCTTACTCCAGATCCATTGGCTTTACATCATTGCTCCAGACCAGCTTCTTGATAGTTACAAAGGTGACCCATATCTTTCAATGTGTATCAGCACAACTGCTTGTAATCTTCATAGGGGCACCACAATGCAATAGCACAATTGGGAGACAGTTGTCACCCCTTAATAGAACATGCCTAAACAGGGAATAAACAATGACCTTCACAGCAGCATCACCAGCTATTATTTTGAAGCCTACGTTTAGGTATAATTGATTTGTGAATGGAGGATAGGCAGTTGAATAAAAGGTCCACCTCCTCCATTTAAAGAGCGCTTTTCACTCATGGAAGCTGTAGTACAGATTCTATGATTGGAGGAGACCTGTGAAAGGTCAAATGCTCCTATTATCCACCTGCAGCATCAGAAGGTTATAGCTGCGAGGGGGGGGGGGGGGGCAGAGGACTTCCGACAGATGACATCAGCACAATGTAAATTTCTCAATAAATGTAAGTACAGTCTCTCATGCTGATTTTTTTTTTTTACATTTTTACCTAAATGTTGGCTTTAATGAAGATTTATAAAATGACAGTAGAGTCCAACAACAGGAGGGTAGGAAAAGATACACTTGTCATATGACACCTGTACCTATTACTGTCTGCTTCCAATATTTTTATTCCTATTTAATCTTTTTAAAGGGCAAATCCAATCTAAATTGATAGTTAAGCTTTTAAAAGATGCTGTAAAGTGTCTGGTCTATATTTACAAATTTAACAAGTGGTGATGGAACATAGAAATTTGGCTACGAACAACCAAATTGTCCAGGTGGGCAGGAACAGAGGTTGGGATTATCATAGACAGATTTCACAGTTTAAAAATGATATATATATATATATTTATATATGAAGCCTGTTTTACCCCAAGCTCCACTTATTTCTTTGGGTGGAATGGACCTTTAAAATGACAAAAGGCTCTTTTTAACACTATCAGGATCTCCATATAACTATTTATTTATTTATTTTAACATACTAGCCCTTTATTGCCATGACATGATAAAAGGATCTATGACTGTATGGGGAAGGTACACCTATTACAATGTTACTACTTCCTAAATAGTCAAAGGGTTAAAAGAATAAAATATTACCACTTGAACTCTCAGCACAACACCTGTGTTTAAAATCTCTTGTTTTGCAATTTTGATTAAGACTACATATATTGCTGCATATAGGCTTTCTATAAATTGAGCAAACGTAAAAAAAAAAATATATCATGATTATTCCAAAGCTGTCAAAAGATAAAGCAGATAACACAGGTGCAAAAATATGCCTAACT